GAGAGAGCCGAGTGGAGAGCATCAGGAATGGTGAGGCGGCTAGGGGACATGGCTTACAAGGAAAGATTGAGAACTGGGTTTATTTAGTCTAAAGAAGAGGAGACTGAGGGGGAACTTAATAGCAGCCTTCAGCTACCTGAAGGGGGTTCAAAAGAGGATGCAGCTGGACTGTTCTCAGTGGGGGCAGATGACAGGACAAGGAGCAATGGGCTCAAGTTGCAGCAAGGGAAGTTTAGGTTAGAAGTTAGGAAGAATTTTCTCACTAGGAGGGTAGTTAAACACTGGAACAGGTTTCCCTAGAGAGGGGATGGAAACTCCATCCTTGGGGGTTTTCAAAACCTTAAAAACAAAGCTTCAGCTGGGATGATCTATTGGGAATAGTCCTGCTTTGAGCAGGGGGCTGGACTAGATGACCTTCTGTGCCTCGAGTGTGACCAGTTCCTGCTCCTGAAGGTTGTGAACAACTGGATTGAAGTGAATCATCTGGAAAGGCAAGGGGCTGGGAAATCACAGAGATATGCCCTGGAAAGACTTCTGGCCTGGTCTGTTCCCATTCCACAGCTCTGGAGAGGACATAGAGACCAACCACAGGGATATCATGTTAAGTTATGGGGCTTGATTAGCAAGTACTCTGTTAGAGAAGGGGATGAAGGGAAGGAGGGCAGGGGGGCAGCTGGCACCTGGTGCTGCAGAGTTCTGATGTGGGGCTGAGAAGCAAAACTGCCAAACTGGGCTCACAGGTAACAGTAGCAGCTTCCTGCAGATCCCAGTGTGCATGTACAGGCCTAGGAGAAAGGTGATGCGGTCGAGAGGAAAGGCAAGGTCAAGGTGGAAGGTAGAGAATGCTTTCCTAGCCATAAATGTCCTCCTTCCTGCAACTCTAGAGCCTCACATACCAGAACCCTAAGAGCAAGAGGAAGGACAAAGCAGTGAGTCAGCTAAAGAAAGTCCCTGGATATCATTTGGGGCCAGCTGTCTTGGGGAGAGCATCCTATTGTGATGGCACTTCTTGTCCCCCTTTGAGTGCACTGACTGCTTTTAAAGAATGATGGGGATGGCACAGGCTTCAAGGCTGAAAGAAATATAATCTCCTTACAGTTTTCCCCAGCATCTGTGCTGGCCTCTGCTTGGTGTTTCGTTTTAACCCCTCCCCCTCATCAAACCTTGGGAGCCAGCATCTGTGTCCTTCGGGTTATGCAGGGCCCTAGATGGGCTGAACGATGGGTGAACTCTTGCTGCATTGAACCAGCATGAGGCTGCTTGCCTGGATGCAGACACTGGTGGGTGCTGAGCAGGTATACATCAACAAGCCTTCCCTGCATTGCTGGCAGAATTAGGGATGTTCCTGGATGGGATGCACTGGTGCTGGGCCAGTTTTGGAGTGTGGGGGAAGTACTTCACACACTCTGAGCACTGATGTGGTTTCTTCTGTGTGGGTGAGCTGGTGCCAGGCGAGGAGGGAATACTGGGTAATCCCACACCTTGAGCACAAATGTTGCTTCTCCCTCGTGTGGATGAGCCAGTGTTTGGGCAGGTTAGAGGATTGAGTGAAGCTCTTCCCACACTCTGAGAACTGGTACAGCTACTCCCCCGTGTGGATAAGCTGGTGCCGGGCCAGGCTGGAGGAGCAGGTGAAGCTCTTCCCGCACTCCAAGCACTTATACGGCTTCTCCCCTGTGTGGATACGTTGGTGCCGGACCAGGTGGGAGGACCGGTTGAAACTCTTCCCACAGTCTGAGCAGTGATATGGCTTCTCCCCTGTGTGGATAACCTGGTGCTGGGTTAGGTGGGAGGATTGGGTGAAGCTCTTCCCACACTCTGAGCACCGATGTGGCTTCTCCCCTGTATGGATGAGCTGGTGCCAGGACAGGTGGGAGAATCGGGTGAAGCTCTTCCCACACTCTGAGCACCGATGTGGCTTTTCCCCTGTGTGGATAACCTGGTGCTGGGTCAGGTGGGAGGATTGGGCGAAGCTCTTCCCACACTCTGAGCACTGATGTGTTTTCTCCCTTGTGTGGATGCGTTGGTGCCGGGACAGGTGGGAAGATCGGGTGAAGCTCTTCCCACACTCTGAGCACTGATATGGCTTCTCCCCTGTGTGGATATGCTGGTGCCGAGCCAGGCTGAAGGAATGAATGAAGCACTTCCCACACTCTGAGCACCGATGTGGCTTCTCCCCTACGTGAATAAGCTGGTGCTGGGTCAGGTGGGAGGACTGGGCGAAACTCTTCCCACACTCTAAGCACTGATGTGGCTTCTCCCCTGTGTGTATAAATTGGTGCCAGGACAGGTGGGAAGATCGGGTGAAACTCTTCCCACACTCTGAGCATTGATGTGGCTTCTCCCCTGTGTGGATAAGCTGGTGCCGGGCCAGGTGGCAAGAACGGTTAAAACTCTTCCCACACTCCGAGCACAGATGCGGCTTCTCCTCCATGTGGATAATCTGGTGCCGGGCCAGGTGGGAAGATCGGGTGAAACTCTTCCCACAATCTGAGCACAGATGCGGCTTCTCCTCCATGTGGATAATCTGGTGCCGGGCCAGGTGGGAAGATCGGGTGAAACTCTTCCCACAATCTGAGCACAGATGCGGCTTCTCCTCCATGTGGATAAGCTGGTGCCGGGCCAGGTGGGAGGATCGAATGAAACTCTTCCCACACTCTGGGCACTTATATGGCTTCTCCCCTGTGTGGATACGCTGGTGCTGGGTCAGGTGGGAGAACTGGGCGAAACTCTTCCCACACTCTGAGCACTGATGTGGCTTCTCCCCTGTGTGGATACGCTGGTGCTGAGCCAGGTTGGAGGACCGAGTGAAGCTCTTCCCACACTCTGAACACTGATGTGGCTTCTCCCCTGTGTGGATACGCTGGTGCTGAACCAGGCCCCCACACTCTGAGCACTGATGTGGCTTCTCCCCTGTGTGAATAAGCTGGTGCCGGGACAGGTGGGAGGATAGGGTGAAGCTCTTCCCGCACTCTGAGCACTGATGTGGCTTCTCCCCTGTGTGGATGCGCTGATGCCGAGCCAGACTGAAAGAATAAGTGAAGCTCTTCCCACACTCTGAGCATTGATGTGGCTTCTCTCCTACATGAATAAGTTGGTGCTGGGTCAGGTGGGAGGCCTGGGCAAAGCTCTTCCCACACTCTGAGCACTGATGCGGTTTCTCCCCTGTGTGGATAAGCTGGTGCCAGGACAGGTGGGAAAATCGGGAGAAACTCTTCCCGCACTCTGAGCACTGATGTGGCTTCTCCCCTGTGTGGATACGCTGGTGCCGGGCCATGCTGAAGGAATGAGTGAAGGTCTTCCCACACTCTGAGCACTGATGTGGTTTCTCTCCTGTGTGGATACGCTGGTGCCGGGCCATGCTGAAGGAATGAGTGAAGCTCTTCCCACACTCTGAGCACTGATGCGGCTTCTCCCCTGTGTGGATGATCTGGTGTCGGGAAAGGTGGGAGGATCGTGTGAAGTTCTTTCCACACTCCGAGCACCGATGTGGCTTGTTCCTTGTATGCATGCTCCTGTGCCTGGGCAAATTAGAGAGCTTTCTAAAGCTCTTCCTACACTTGGTGCCATGGTGTGGCTGCTCCTCGGTCTGCACACACTGGTGCTGGGACAGGTCTTGCCAGCAGATGTCTGGTGTCGGGAAAGGTGGGAGGATCGTGTGAAGTTCTTTCCACACTCCGAGCACCGATGTGGCTTGTTCCTTGTATGCATGCTCCTGTGCCTGGGCAAATTAGAGAGCTTTCTAAAGCTCTTCCTACACTTGGTGCCATGGTGTGGCTGCTCCTCGGTCTGCACACACTGGTGCTGGGACAGGTCTTGCCAGCAGATGAAGTTCTTCTTGCACTCAGTGCAATGGTGCGTCTTCCTCCTCAGCTGGATGTGCTGATGCTGAGACGGGAAGAAGAAATGGGTGAATGTCTTACCACACTTGACACAGCAGTACTGATACTTCCCCCTGTGCACATGTAGGTGCTTGACCAAGTCAGAGGGGCACATAAAGATATTTCCCCATTTGGTGAAAGGGTGAAGGAGCACTCCAGAATGGATCTAGCAGTAAGCAACAAGGGGTTAAGAAGCAGGTGAAGCTCTTCCCACACTTGTTGCATACGTGGGGCTTCTCCCCAGTGTGCCTTATCTTGTGAAGAGCCAGGAGTGATGGGCACTTAAAGGTTTTTCTGACCTTGGGCCAGGGGTGGGCTCTGCCCTTGTGCTTGGCAGTGAGCTCCTGCTTCCCTCTGAGGCTTTCCCCACTGCCTTGGCTTGGATGCAGTGCTTCTTTCCCATGGCTCTTTAAGGCTTCTCAGCTCCAAAAACATCTTCCCTGCACCCAGTGCTCTTTCTGGGCTCTGCCCCCTTCTCTAGTCTCACCCTCAACTGGAGCTGGTACCTGGTTTACTGCTACATTCTCCTTCTGCTTTCGGGGCCTCCCCTGACTCTTGTGCCATGGCTCCTTCTCAGGTCTCAGGGAGTCCATCTTGCCCAAACTCCCTAGGGAAGTCTGTGCTGGCTCCAGGTCTGGAGACCCTTTTGCAGGAGTCTGCTCCTCAGCTCCGCTCAGCAGCCAGGCACGTCCTGCATGGGGAAGAGAAACTCCAGATTAGTCCGTATGCTGCTTGAAAAGGTCAAACTCTGCAATTCGTTCTGCTGGGACTTGCCTCAGACCAGGCATTCACCTCAGCACTTGTTACGTGAAGAAAACAAGGTCTTCCTGCCGAATCTCCAAATGCTTGGGGTGAGGGAGGGGCAGGTCCCTGTGCTGGGGTAATGTTGCCTACTCAGTGGAGTTGAGCCAGACTCTCAGTTTCTGGCCTAGCTGTCCATACCATCACCTCAGGCCCTGCTGGGACAAGCACATGTGGGACATGTGCGTTAGGGCAGTGCCTGAATAGCTTCATGCTCTAATGGGCTAAGCATGATGGAAGTACTTAGAGCTGTGGAGCTCTCTTCTGAGAGGAGCAAGTCTGTGCTTCCTGACTGCTTCCAGGGAAAGGTCTTGTGCAGGGAATGAGTCCATGGACCTTTCCTCTGCTGACAAGGAATAAGCATAGGGACAAAGGCCTTGGCACGACCTGAACCTAGACTCTATGCTGAGTCTCAGGCTTCGTGACACTCCATGCCCCACAGAGGAAACAGGAAGGGGGAAATTCTGATGCAAACCATGGTGGATTAACTTCCCCATGCAACATGAAATCTTGTGAATCCCATCCGTGCCATGGAGCCATTTCATGCAGCCTGAGACCATGATGAAACTCCTTCTGGGTTGCAGGGCAACTTGACCAGGAGAAGCCAGGGAGAGCCTTAGCTTCTTTCTTGTCCAACAGGAATGGCTACACAGAGCCTCTGTATAGCATACTGATTTCCATGGGGAACTACAAATCCCATTATGCTCTGGGAGATGGTGTTAGAGGGGTATAGCTACCGCTGGCTGGGGAATTAACTCTTACATTGCTGAGCCAAGATAGAAATTTAAGATTACGGTATCCCAGGAAAACCAGATCTGGGCTGAAAAATCAAGGCACCAAACCTGATTTTCCCCTAACATCTGTCATTAGAGGGAGAAAAAGGGAACAGTTGCTTGTCTACACATGGTTGAATTTCAAGAAACTGGGAACAACGCCTGCCTGGACACATCACAACATAATGTACTCTGTTTGAGGTCAGCACCCTGCAATGGCAGCACAGGGCAGGCCAGCAGTTCCCAGGTCCCCCTGGCACTCTGGCCAAGGAGCACTACTGAGAATAGTTAGGTGGAGGGGACAGCCACAACTCACCTGGCAGCAGGTCCTCTGACCTTGAGATTTCCCCACTGTCCTCATCATCACAGACCCAAAGCTCCACCTGTCCACACTGGATGCGGCAGATTAAGTCAGGTGTGGGACCTCGATGTCCTGTTTGGGACAGTGATTAAAGAGCGTTTGTGACTTGGTACTGGATGCAGAATAACCAACTGGGATTTGGAGAATAGATCCAATAAACTCAAGGTTTCTACTAGAGCCTGAATGGACACTGGAAGATGGGCATTTAGGGTGAAGAGAAGGCACTGCAGGAAGAAGCATTCAATACATGATGGCCCTTGTCACCCAGGTAATGGAGGAATTGTCATAGGAAACAAGGCACCAACCACTCCATTGTATAGAAAGGGCATAAAATTGACCACCAGTCACCAGGGACAGGCATGGAGATGCAATGATCTATGCTCTATTAGGGAGCAGAAAGATAAAGCTTTTACTGTTTTCAAGGTACGAAATTGAAGAGGCAGTGGACACACTTATGGATGTATAACATTTCTCTTATCAGTTGAATTCCAGGCAAAGGAATGAAAATGAGCTTATTCTCACGGAAGGTTTAAAGCGAGGACTCATGGCAGTTAAAAGTATCCACGTCAGGTGGCTAACAACAAGACTTTTTCTGGGAGAGAGGGTAATTCAGCATCACCAAGGCACAGGAAACGATATATAACTATGTATAACTGTAGTTGCAGTTGAAGCAATCATCTCATCCCATCCCATCCAATGAGACGATCATCCCAGAAGGGGAGATGTGTCCAGAGGCTGGCCAACACTGCAAGATTTAAAACAAAGTTCCTGGGACTCACGCACATGGACAAAAGAAGGCAGAAGGAGCCACGTTTCACAGCATGTGAAAGGCCATGATGTCTATACAGGCTTTGTTGGGCTACAGAAATCATTTGAGCACTTCCCTAAGGCAGTGTTTCTCAAACTGTACGTCATCACCCAAAAGTGGGTAGCAAGAATATTTGAGAGGGTCATGAACAGTCACAGAAGAATGCGCAAAAGCATGCGTTTCCCCTTGCAGGCTGGCAGCCTTCCAGGGGCCCTGGCAGGGCCCAGGGGCTACGAGTCAGGAATGAGGGGCACCGGCAGGGCCGCGGGACTGTGAATCAGGAGTGAGGGGCACTGCCAAGTTGCACTGTGCAAATTGCACAATGATGAATGTCACTTGGGAGTAATTTAATGTTTTCCTCTTGATGTTGATTTCTGTCTTTAAAATTAAGACTGTTGAGCTGCTTTAATTTATAGTGTATAATAATACTTGTGGGCATTTTTACATGTGTGCCTGACACAGCACTGGGTGCTTTTAAATTAGCGAGCCAGGCTAATTAAAAGTGCCTGTGCAACATCTGTATCAGCACCGCAGAGTGTCCCCACGCTAAGAAAATGGCAAAATGCTTTGAACTGAAGCACAGCAAATGTGTTGTATTTCCAAGTACACAGCTGCCATTTTCTCAGCGTGGAGACGCTCTGTGCTGCTGATGCATGTGACACGTGAGGCTGCCAGAGCACATCAATTTACGTGCTTCAGTAGACTCGATTAATGGAGTCTGCTCCAATGCACTGGATTTCCAGTGCATCAGAGCAGGCTCCCCACAAATGTTTAAGTGCCCTAGGTGTTTTTTAATTAAACTATTTAGTGGGTTGGGACTAGCCACTAAGGTTTACAAATGGGTCCTGGTATAAAAAAGGTTGAGAACCACTGGCCTAAGGAAATCCTTTTGGAAAAATGGAGGGCAAAGAAAGCATCAGAAAAGCAAACTGACCTAGTAAAAGGTAAGTACTTCAGCCCTGTGCACAAGCCAGAAGAAGCCCCTGTATTAGAGATGCTCTGGAAAGGAAAACTATTTTTCACTAGGCCCTGCATTAAGCCCACTTCTTTTTACCACAGTGATGGGTGTCAGATCTGCAGAAGGATTTTAGGAAGAGGACAGAAAAAGTTCAGACTGGCAGAGTGAACTCCAGAGTACTGGTTTTAACATAAACATAGCCAAGCCAGAGTCCCTGGCCTATGGAGATTAAGATGTTAGGAACAAATGTGGACAGAAGTTTCCAGTGACCCCTTGGTGGAAGTACCTGGGTTCCATGCTTACATGTGTCACTAGAGAAGATGAGGAAATGCATCATCCACATGTGGTAGCAGCAGAAGCTGATAAGACTTCTGTTAAATTTTGCTGGGTCATAACCAAGGGAGGAAAAAGGGGATTTAGATATCACAGAACTCAGCACGCTACGATTTTAAAAGGTGTTTGGACAGGACACGCCAGGCAAGAGAGGGAGGAAATCAGAATTATTCCCCAAAGAAGAGCTGTTAGTGAATTTATGTGCTGACAAGGCAATTATGCGCTGAGAAGGCAAAGAGAGATCATGCTGCCCAAAAACTGCTGAATATGGAAACACCAGGACTTACGAGAATGGGGAACACTCAAGTGAAGGCAGCTGAAACAAATGAAGGAGCATAAAGCAATATGAAATGTGAAAGAGGTCTGATCACTGACAGAGCAGTGAAGAGGAAGCTGATTTATACCACCAGCCAGAAGTCTGCAAGAATGAGACCGCTGAAACACAAGGACATGACTACAGAACTTAAAAGAGCTCACATAGCTCCAGGAAGAAGCAAGAACCAGAGCTTTACCCAGGGAAATGAGGGCTTGGTAATTCTTCAGCATCTCGTCCTGGTAAAGCACCTTGTCGTCATCTTCCAACAGCTCCCACTCCTTCCGTGTGAAATACACGGCCACGTCCTCAAACACGTCCCGGAGCTGCAGTGACAAGCGTTACACCATCAGTGTCTCCCGTTTCAGCTGCTTCCAGTCCCCACAGCCCTATCTGCAATCACTCAGTACTATAACTAACCACAAGCAAATCAGGGTGTAAAATGCCCCATTCTTCAGCTGACATCTGCTGTGGATACTGTGGACGTCGGAGTTCATTTGTTGGCCTTAGCCTAGGTCATCATGTTCTATTTGCTCAGCCCCTTGAGGCAGCCTGGGCACCACTTCTAGAGGCAGGGAGCCCCGGCTACATGCATTCTGATCAGGCCTTCCTGTGCCAGCAGTCTTGGGTACCTGCACTTGGGAGGGAGCTTTTGCTAATGCCATCTTGTCATTCTTCAGGTCTCTCTGCTCCCCTAAAATCTTAATACCACCCCTGACTCCTCTTGGGCTCTGTTCCAGCTGTACTCCAACCCACAACTGAACCTGATTCCCTGCTCACCTCCAAGCTCTCCCCCTGCTTTGGAGGCCTGCCCTGCCCCCTCTTAACTTGGCCTGATTCAGGTGTCAGGGAGCCCCTCTCCTCCAGTCTCCCTGAGGAAGTCCTCTGCAGATCCAGGATTACAGTCTCGTCTCCAGGAGGCTGCTGCTCAGCTCTGCTCAGGGTCCCAGCACCTGCAGGGTGGGGAAGAGAAGGCACAGGTTAGCCCTGGTGCTGCTGGCATGGGGAAGTCCTGCTATTCTCTTGTACTGGCCTGGGACTAAGGCAGATGGAGGCTTCAGTGTGTGGAAGAGGGTGGAGAAGGAAGATTCAAAATCTCACAGATCCTGCTAATAGGCTTCCAGAGATATGAGGCTGGAGATGAGCCTGAATACAGGCAGTCCTCAGATGTACGATGCAATTGATTCCTGAAAACTCCGTCTTAAGTCGAAACGTCATAAGTTGGAACCAATTTTCCCATAGGAACAGTGTTATAAATGGGGGACTAGCTCCTTTACGATGCTCAATGCAGCTGCATCCAGCTATAAGTCTGTTGTGGTGGAAGGGGAGAGGGGAGGGGAGGGAAGGGGCGTGGGGGGGCAGATCAAGGCCCCTGTGCTGAGGGGGGGACTGGGGCTGGGGCAAGAGCTGCCCAGCCAGGGCTGGGCAGGCGCAGGAGTGAACTGCGGCTCACTGGGGGCACGGGGAGGGAGGGCGCAGCAGCTCCCACCACTGCGCATCTGGCGGCTCCTTTAGCGGGCCCTGGCGCTGCTCCTGTCACCGGT